TTTTTTTTCTTTTAAGTCAGTTATTCTTAAAAAAAAAAAAAAAAGTATGTAGGAAAGGGGTACCTCCAAACGTCGTTCATCTCTTTGGGAAGGATTTCATCGCTGTCTTCCAAAGGCATCATAGCAAAACCTCCCACAGCGTAAAGGAAACCAGCAAGAGATACTAGATTCAGAGAGCTCCGCTCCTGAGGAAATGGCTCAAAATCTGACCACCTGCGGCATTAAAATAAAAAATAGTTTTAGACTATTAGTTTCACTAGTTTCATGTCATCCTTCTGGTTTCTGTTTATCCATTTAATGATAATTACTATGACAGGCCTGCTCTTAGGTATTTTAAGTTCTTTCTCTATGCTTCATACACAAATATAGAATTAGATTTTTTTTTTATGCTGCATTGAAGACAAAACCTGATTCAACATATTAGTTCACGTCAGTATCTCTCAGTTCAGAGCTCACATGTTGGTAGTGATGTCGTACACCTCCACTGTATCCGTGAGTCCGTCGTCAGTCACTCCTCCTGCTACATATATTTTGTCTTGGTGAAGAGTTGCTCCAAATAAAGAGCGAGCCGTCTTCATGGGAGCGAGCTCTTTCCATTCAAATCTCTTGAGATCATATGCACACATCCTCTTCAGACAGCTCCTTTTTTAAAAATATAACAACACAGTAACTTCTAGGTTTTCCTAGTCTCTTTATGACTGTTGTGATCATAAGATGTTTTTGCAACAGATACTCACTTGTTGTCTCCTTTTCCACCAATCACATACACAACATCATTGTGTGATACAGTTGAATGTCCATAAACTGGGTAAGGAATTGACTCAGACTCACCCCATTTAAAAGATCTATGAATGAGCAAAAAGGGGAACAAATTTTGAGACGGTTGTTTTAAGAACATCTGAATGAGAAATCATTTTAACTTACTGTCTGTCGTAGACCAAAACCGTATCCAGAGTGCCCTCCTTGTCTTTCAGCTCCTTCCCTCCCAGGACGAAGATGGAGTTCTCGCCTTCAGCCATCCCAAACAGGAAGCGGGGAGTCGGGAGGGGTGGCATGCCAAGCCAGTCTGTACTAACCGGGTCATACTGAGGTGGCAGAAGTATTTACAGATTATTATTATTATTATTTACTATGGAAGTGTGCCTTAGTTAAAGGTAAAGGCTGGCTCTTTTGCTCCTTCTCTATTTTATACCTATATGGTTTTAATAATTTTGTACCAACTCGTCCGTCAGAATAATTTTTTGTGTTACCTGGAGGCATGAATCATATTTTTATTGGTCCCATGCCTCATACAGATATCAAGATAACAGGATTTTATACAAGGTTTTCCAACAATAACAAGTAGTCAAGATAAATTGTAAAATAAAATTTTAGCTTTTTATGACACGTTCGTTAATCGTGAAAATCATCGGGCGTTATGGAACACAGCTGATAGCGATGTTGTCTGCAGCAATAAGTCCTGGGTTTAAATCCCAGCCTGGGTTCTTTAGGAAAAAGTAAGTTCTCTCCAGGTTCTCTGGCTTTCTCCTACAGTTGGAAGAAAACTGACTGGTGAGTCAATTGTATACTCGATGTTGGCCTTATGGATGGGTGTGAGCAGGCATGGTCGTCTGTTTCTCTGTTACCCTGGGAACCTGTTTAGGGCCTGCTCCACCGCTGGACCAGTGACTGCTAGAGATGGTCACGACCTCAGAGTTTTATGTTGCTTTTTGGGTAAAGGCCTCTCCCTCTAGAGCTCTGTCATTTCATGTCAATTCAGAGCTCATTCCACTGAGGATAATGAGGATCCTACCAGCTAAAGCCAGAGGACACACAAAGTCTTATACAGACCAATATTGGAAAGAACTTATCTTTTTCTTAAACAGTGTGATCGCTGGACAATGACATTTTTTTTCATGATTTAAATGTGAAATGTTAAATGAAGAAAAGTATAAAACAGACTTGTGGAGGTCCACATTCCTCTATCTGATATCTTGGCTTATTTCTTTAGATTTTTATTCAGTGTCACACGACGAAGCAAGGTGTCTAAGGTGCTGCCTTAACACATCCATAGGTGTGCCTTCAGTTGATTGCTATGACATGAATTCACTTATGATAGCATCATTTTAGAATCAGGTCTTTTCCCAATGGTTTAAAGGAATAGTAATCTCAAATTTAAAACATATAAATTTAAAATTACGAACAAAAAAAACTTAATTGTTCTGGCATAAAGTAAAATTGCATGTATTATGCATGTTATTTTTTTATAGAGTGATTGTAAATATCTGGTTTCAGCCTTATGCTAAAATTCTGTATACTAAACCTCCTTTATAAAAATTTATTTGATTGTAATATATTAAGTGTTTTATGTGTAATTCTACAATAGTTTTTCTCTGCAATTTTATTATGAAATGCCAGGTCTAAAAGGTTTATCTAATTTCTTCTATATTTGTAGAATATCTTTCATACCTGCAGGAAATAGGAGCACAGAGGGTCCTCCTTGTTCATTTCATCAACAAATAGTCCTCCGATCACAAAGATCTGGTTCTCCTTGGTCACCAGGCTGACGTGGTTCTTAGGAACCTGCGTGGAGACTGACGCCATGAAGCAGTCGTTGCCTGATGGGTCGTACGCCACAGCACCGCTTTCGTTCACCATCAGTATCAAGTCCCTGACAAACATTCCAAATCGCAGGTTATCGTTCAGGATAGCCGGTAGAAGATCTTCTTCATCCTCCTTGTCTTCACTTTGTCCGTCTTTCTCTGCTCCACCTTCATCCTTCTTTGCCTTTTTAATCTCTGGCAGTTTCCCACTGCGAGCATCTCTGACCATTTTTAGCTTCTGCTGAAGCTCTGGATGAGCAGAGATCAGTTTGTTTTTCTCCACTTTATCTTTCAGGTAATCATCTGTTACTAGACGCAAACGAACACAATCCAGCAAATCCGGGAGTTCTTTTTCTCTGCCCTCCGTGTCCCGGGACACCCACCGCATGAGAGCCTCGAACACAGCCTCCTCTGTCTCCACATTCAAATTGTCATTTGTCAGAATGGCAGCCAGTTCAGTTGCATTGAGCTGGAGGAAGTCTTCGTCTTTGGAGATCAGCTGAAAACGCTCACAGGCGTAGTTCCGGGCAGAGACGGCCAATCTGGGGCAGTCCAGCATCAAACCGAGCCTGAAGATGGCCAGGCAGTTGCTGAGGCTGAGGCGCTTTTGTAAAAAAGACACGCAAACAGTGAAAATTGAAGGAATCTGGTACAAGTTAGCAACGGCAAAGATGTCCTGAACGTTCTGCTCTGTGACATTGATCTTCGAGGTGTACAGGTACTTCAGAATCAGACCGATGACACCAGGTTCAACGTCCTCAAGTACAATTTCTCTCTTTTTGCTCTCATCCAGGTCGGACAAAAAGATGGAGCGGAAGTAGGAGCTGCAGGCACACAGCACCAGGCGGTGGCAGGGAAACTCCTTGTCTTTGATCTTTAGGACACAGTCCACCAACTTGTCATTCTCCAGCAAGTCATACAGGCCGTCCTGGAGCAGAGTCTGCTGGTACAGCCTGGGCTCATCCATCGGGTTTATAGGCAGAGCCATCTGAGGGGTCTTTAAGATGTTGCAGATCGAATAAAACCGTATCCTCTTTGTTGCAGAGTATTTGGCTTTCCAGTCCTGACAGTGGGTGTAGAATGCCCTGAGAGCCTGTTCACTTCTTACTCAGCTGTCCTGACCCTTCATCTGAGCTCCAACTGGAGGGTTATTTATAGACTGGCTGCTCGCTTTAGAGCTATGGGGGCTTTATTCTGGAACATTGCTGGAAAGGCAATATCCCCATCTCTGTCCGGTTTTCCTACCTCCCACATGCCGCTCCCCTGGATAATCCACCCCCTCTCCAACAGCTGAGGCATATCTCATTAGAAACATTTCCGATATGAGTCACAGTGAGTTGTGAGGGTTCATGAGGCCTCTGTGACCAATTCAACCAAACCATGAGGTCAGGAGGCTTGAGCCTGTCCCGACTGTCCCACCTCTATGTTTGTGAGGTCATTTCTAAAGCTGTTACAGAACTCCTGAGTCTGAGTCAGTCTACTGAAGATCTCTGGGCCTGTAGAATATTCGATTCCTTGCCTGGGGTCTTTCTGCATGGAGTTTGCATGTTCTCCCTGAGCATGCGTGGGTTCTCTATGGGTACTCCAGCTTCCTCCCACAGTCCAAAAACATGACTGTTTCCTAGCTATAACAAACTGCTGACCTGTCCAGGGTGTATCCGACCTCTCACCTGTACACTGCCGGAGATAGGTCGCAACCCTGACAAGGACTAAGCTAAATTGGATGGATGGAAAGTTGTTAATTTCAAAAGTTTGTTAAGCTCAGTTCATTTTTAATGATGCTGAAACCTGAACTAAACAACTGAATCAAACCCCATCTCCCTCTAAAACTAGTTACCTCTATTATTATTTTAGGTTTTTATTTTAAATTTTATTAGTGTAATAGCCAATTTTTAACCCAAATTGATCTGTTTCAGTAAACCCTTTAGTGTTTTTTTCATATGAAGACCAAACATTTGGATCTTCTATGTTTTTGCTCCCACAGGAAGTGTCTTTGTGGTTTTAAGCAGCTGGTCTTGGTGCTAGTTATCACCGGACACAAATATTGATCTGACCTTTTTCATTGTCAAAACCCTTTTAATGACAAATGCTTTTTTTCCAACTGGCAGCTCATTAGGATTTTTCTTGCTCTCTAAAGATGACCTCTGTGTGTTTACCATGTTCACAAACTGTAGTGCTTAACAGTCTTTAAATCTTCCTCAAAAGGTTCAAATTAATTGTTCATCTGGAAAATTAACCCCTGCCTCTTTGTCAAGTCCTCCACAGGTTAATCCCCAAGCAGTACTGAGATACATCATTCCATCTATTCTGAAGAAAAGGTTCCCAACAGCATGATTCTGCCACCACTATGCTCCGGTGTGGGTGTGGTGCATTGTTAGTTTAGTCCACACATTGCATTTGTCCCCGGCAAAACACTTGTAAGGTTAATAGGGTTTAATTTAGTTGTACTTTTTACAAGAACAAATAAAACCTCTTCATGTAAACTTACAGCCATACATTGCTTTTCTTATATTGTAATGATGAGCATCAGAAAGTCAGTGCTTTTTTTAAACAAAACATCTTTATAAATCCAAGACTATACATCATGTTACATTGAGTAAATGCTTTTATTAACTTTGAAGCATCTGTTACATCTATCATGACATCTAAATTTTACCATCTGTAAATACAATCATTTGTATTTACAACCACTCTGGGTTCATTCAAAATTGTTCTGCTGTAAAAGCTAAGTGGGACATAATGAAGCTTCCAATACTCTTATATAGATGGTTTGTTCATCTCTGAATGGAGAATTTTATTACTCTGCTTTCTCCTTGCTGGGATCGGCCACTGGCTGTGGAGCAGGAGTGGGAGGACTGGGGGCTGTGGTGGCATTAGGAGGCGGGGCAGGAGGAAGTGGATCAGGGTCATCAATGAGGGCCTGTCTCCTCTCACGCTCCTTGATCACTTGAATCAGGCAGTAGGTCACAAACATGACGATGATAGTAGTTATAGGAAAGCCTAAAGGAAGGAGTTACAAAAAATTACAAAAAAAAAAAATTACAGAAAAAAAAAAAAAAAA